GCGCGATGCAGGTGGGCTACATGAATTTGTACAGCTTCTAAATGAGGCTCTCGGTTGCATTGATTTATCTTCACGCGTGAACTCAGTCTCACCTTGCTTGCACAATATTATCTTTGTTTAAACTATATCGAATTCAGAGTTGCATTTCATTATTTTCTCGTTCTCCAAAGTACTATTAAATTCTTCTAGTTGAATACAAATCTCTTCAACTTTTACTTGAAATAGACAGATTACTCAGTGGTTCAACTGTAACTGGCTGATTAGAACGCACTCTGTTGCCTTTACGAGTCGTCGCTACAGCATCAACATCTGCTGCTTAACCACTAGTGATCATGAATCCACAACGTGAAAAGCCATCATCCTGTTCGGTTCGGACAAAACTTTATCATCACCCATAATTGCCTATTATCAGTTTTACTGTTCTCACATGCACTCTATAGACTTACTATTGATCTCATCGTGTTATCCATCGCCCCACTTATAACTATAATACTCCTCAACTTTCCTGCTTAATTCGTTAAACACATTTCCGCCACTGCATTCTAAATGCCTAAAGGTTGTTTGAAAACACACACTTCATTTTTCCATAACTGTATTGTACTGATACCTAACCAATAGTTCATAAGTTGTAACAGCCAGAAAAGCGTGTAAAAGGAACTTACAGAAATAGTGTTTCTCAACAGGATGTGGAATATAGAGCCTCAAATAGAACATAAGATAATATCTTACAATCGTTTTTCATGAGCCTAACAACATAAAAGGAAGGTGGAGTTACTAGCAGACATTGATGGTGTGGGCGATGACTTCAAGCCACCCATGTTTGTGGGGCAGAATACTTTGTTTGTTTTCAGGCCTTTTTGATTGATGAGGCGACCAGTCAGTGATACTGTGGTTGCTCTTATACGCTTGCTACTTCTGAGACTCATATTTCCGCTTATATTCTGAGTTCGTTATTCTGCTAAGACAACCCACAACGTGCTTATTCAGTACGATTCAGAGGTTGGAGTTTAATACAGAAAATTATGGTGAAAAATATAATTATCAATGTTGTTTGCGTACTTGGCTCTCCTTACTGAACTTTCGGTTTCAGTATACAGACTTCAAATTCTCTTCTATCAACTTGACACACTGCACAAACCGCCATTCTTCATTGCTATAACCCTTAATTTATGTGCTTTATTATTACAATTTACTTACATTTTAGTAGTCGGTATGAATTTTATCTTGACTCACCACTCACTACAATGTCTATTTCACCATGAAAGGTTAAGCAATGATCTTGTTATATATATTCCATTGCTTGGTTGTTGTTCTTTCTCCTCTCTGTCTCTTTTGTCCCTTCTCAGAACCCTATTCATGGTGGAACATCCATGGTGCCTCCGCGCAAAATGCACCCGTACGCGCACATCTAGGTCACAGCTTGTATCAAGCGCTTTCCAATTGACAATTCCCGACAAATTCACTCCTGAATTATGCAAAGCACCCAAGAACCCTGACATGTACCTTCCCTCTTTGTACTCACATAATAAAAATGTATCTGTATCAAACTGTTCCTCTCAGTGACTTGGTGTAAATGTGCTATTAAAAACAGACTTTTATTTCTAATCTTACTTTTACAGTGGTAGCGTTTGTAACAATTTGATCTAGCCTGTAAATTGGCATACCTCGTCTAACATGCTGTTATTTGAGAATAAATATATTCTTATTACAAAGCAAATGCAACTTCTGACTTGATATAAAGATAACTTGGTTCAATCAGCCTGGAGTTGTTCTTAACTCTTTCTAAAATATACTCTGAAATCCGGAATGTTTTCTCACCCCCTCTGACAGATTTTTGGCTCTAACTCTTGAAACACTTGTCTCGTACTTAAAATTAGAACTTTTTCTGACTCGGTAGTGTGATAGGTATATGTTGGAGTATTTAATTTACGGACATAGTGTCAAATAGAGCAACAGGCTTCATTAGCTAGGACTTCAGAATCTCGCGCCACCGATGTATGCTACGTCTCCGAAACGCGCATACAGGATCCGAGTAGCATCATTCACTTGACCTCACCGTGTCGAGATAAAGAAGCAACTCGATTTACCCTTCGTATGTCCGGTAGCCCTGATGCTGCTTCCCGGGGTCTCGCTGGTGTAGGTATAGCATTGAGTCGTAGAGCTGAACAATCTCTCCTAGACTGGATCCCATTAGATAGTCGCTTGTGTGTCGTCCGGCTAAACGAGACAGTAAGGACTCGGAAAGAAAGGGGTACTCGCCGTTTTCTCTTCGTCGTATCTGCCTATGACCTCACTGACTGCAGTTCATACGAGGTTAAAGATGAGTTTTACGGAAAGCTTTCGGACCTCCTCCAAAAAGCTAGGCGCTCTGATATAGTTATAATGGCTGGTGACTTCAATGCTCAGGTAGGTAGACTAAGTGAAAATGAAAGACACCTAGGTGGATGTTATGGTATCGCGGCTCAGAAAACAGACAATGGCGACTTTTTGTTGCAAGTATGCTCAGATAACCGCCTATTTCTAGCAAACACTAATTTCAAGCATAAGGAAAAGCATCTGGCGACCCCCGAAATCGTCTCAACGTTGGACGCAACTAGATCATATCGCCATCAGCCACCGATGGAGGGGTTCGAAAGAGGACTGTCGCTCGTTCTGGGGCATAAGTTTAGATTCAGGTCATGCTCTAGTGCAAGCGCGTATTTGTTTGCGCCTTACTGGACGCCAGAAAAATATCGCAAGAAAACCTCTTAGGGCTTTACTTAATGATCATCAAACTAAGAACACATTTCAGAAGGAACTAAATAAACGGTTAGACATCCATGCAAGTGATTCCCATCCGGAGGCAGATTGGAATGATATCAAAAAGGCTGTGGAAACAGCAGTGATGTCTACTAGCAAGTTAAACCATAAAGGCTAGGATGAAGCCGTGGATTTTAGTTGCATCCACCGAACTGATGGTTGCTCGAAAACGCATCCCACCTGACTCCGAACATGACGAAGAGCGAAGTCAACTTAGGCGAACAGCGGTGGGTGGCGAAAGCAAAAGCGATGGAAAAGGCAGCGGCGATATGCAACACTAGACAACTTGTCCGCCTTATCAAAGAAACTGGTATTAGGAACCCGAATGTGAGTGAGATTATCTAAGAAAAGGATGGCTGTATCATTTATTCTCAATCCAGGAGATTGGACCGATGGGCAGGACACTTTAGGGATCAGTTCAACTGGCCTCGAGCCACACTTCGGTTGCCTACGATCCCCAGTCATCCTGAATGGCAAATCGATTTAAGTCCTCCTAGTCTACATGAAGTTGAGAAAGCTATAGGAAATCTAAAGGGATGTAGAGCTGCAGGTCCTGATAAGCTTATCCCTGAGATATTTAAGGAAGGTGGTCCAGTTTTAACAGTTAGACCGACCGAGATCTTAGGTAGAATCTGAGAACTGGGCGTAATCCCATCTGACTGGTCTCAGTCGCTAACTGTCCCAATCTACAAGAAAGGACAGAAGTCCTTTTGTGACAATCACAGGGGAATAAGTCTAACTAATATGGTTTCCAAATTGTTAGCCTCGATCATACTTAGACGCCTAACTAGTGCTCGTGAAGAGCAGACTCGAGAAAACCAGTCTGGTTTCAGACCTGGACGTAGCTGTCTAAACCACATCTCCACACTACGACAGGTCCTGGAACAGACACACATTTAGACGTCCGACAATAGTTGTGTTCATGGACCTAAAAGCGGCATTTGACTCCGTGGATCGTGAGGTTCTGTAGCAGTGTCTGTCATTGAAAGGTGTACCAAAAAAGTACACTAACCTTATAAACTCGAACACCAGTGGTCGAGTGAGAGCCTATGGCGAACTCTCATCTGAATTCTCCACATCAAGTGGTGTCCGTCAGGGCTGCCCACTCTCTCCTTTCTTGTTTAACTTTGTCGTAGACATTAAGCTCATCAGATTTTTCAGTGGTTGACCTTCTACCAGGAAGATCGCTTACTGACCTAGAATATGCCGATGACATTGTTCTATTCGGTGAAGACGCTGACAAAATGCAGAGTCTTCTGACTACCCTGAGCAACTATGCAAGCATGTTCGGGATGCGGTTCTCACCCTCGAAATGCAAAATGCTGCTTCCAGACTGGGTTGCATCGGCACGAGTAGATGTTCATAGGTTACTAGTATTCGATCATAGATGTTTAAGAAGCATTGCTCGTATATCGTGGGACAACCCTAAGTGGTGAAACTTCATCAGTTGAGGTGGTTGGGACGTGTGTTACGAATGCCCAACCACCGACTGCCTCGACGAGCTATGTTTTGTGGTGGAGGAGTAGGATGGAAGAAAGCTAAGGGCGGCCAAACCCAAACATGGCGGATATCCATGCAGTCACTGACAAGTGGACTGAATCATGTAAACTACGTGGTTGGGGTCCGCGAGACGATAGTAACTGATTGTTAGAGACCTTTAATAACATGGATCAAAATCGTTTGCAATGGCGCAAGTGCATCCATTCGTTGAGCTCTCTCAAATCCTAATTTTCTGGATTCGTCAGCACCTCTACCTCTGTCTTTCTAACCTCATCTCACTGAATTATACTTCTTGAATAATATCTTCAAACCCTAGTCTTCTTAATTACCATTAACACCTCTACTATCTCTACTACTATAGGATTTGAATTGACAATTGCATCTCTGTGTACTATCGTGGTATGGCAACATGAACTGATGTACCTACGTACGAAGTTCTACGTTGTAACTGACTGACTGACTGACTGATAGGTGCTGGTATCCAGAATTCCTAATGCCTTGACACAAACGCACTGACTCGAATTACAACACATACAAATTCATAAATGATTAACCAATGGAATAGAATTAGTTCAGTTCACTCGTTGGATGTTACCAAATATCTGGAATTATACAATTAATCTGGTCGAATCAGTTGTTGATCAACACATTCAAATGAATTGACATCAAAACACCAAGTAAATGTATATATAATTAAATTTTTATGAAAAATAAAATAGGTGATGTTTTATATAAAAAAAAATTTAAAAAATAATCTTCCTGATTTACTCACCTAATTAATACTCAAAATAGAAAATGCTTCGAATAGAGAAATGTGAAGACATATTTTGTGAGATAGTAGTACCATTTCGTGCTTTCTCATCAGTCATATAGATACAAGCAACATGTTATTTGTGTAAATACAGCAGTTTTGAAAATAAGGTCAAAATTTCTTATTTAACATAACATTCATTCCACTTACTAGAAGAACCATGGTAAACAAAGGTCAACCAACATAAAGTTGGACTTTTTCGACCAATCAAGATAGTTTCGAATAGTTTCAGTGTGTGTGTGTGTGTGTTTTGATGACATGTCATAACTCTATAAAGGCTGATTTTGGGTCAATTTGATGACAATTTGAAATAAATTGATTGCAATCAATTAATAGGAGCGAGAAATATGATTCTAAACTATGGTAATAATAATAACTTGGCAAATCAAACTTGCACCAACAATAAAAAGTCAGTAGTCATCTTACATGATCTTATTTTAATTTTTAAGAAAAAAAAAACAAAAGAAGTTTATGAACTGTACTTCAAACAAACAAAAAAAGGTAGGGCACAATCTGGATTTTTTTTTATAAAAAAAACAGATACTCAAATTAATCGAAGATTGACACAAAAAAATTTATCCAGAATCAAGTAGCGTTTTATTAGGAGAGTTTATATAGAGGAAAAAACAAAAGGGAAATCCAATATTGTGTATTTTACTTACTGGCTTATATCTTAATTTTTTTGATTATTTAAATTCACTGTGAAATGACCAGAACCAATACAATAGTTCTCTTCAAATTTATAACCAGTTCGCATAAGATATTGTATTATAGCTGGTCTTAATACTGGTGATATTGACACTAGATCACTTTCATTACCAGCTGCTCGACCAGTGATTACAGTGAAATATTTCAATGGTTTTTTTGATAATGATGATGATCGATTGAATTTATTTTGTAAATAATTTAAACGTTGTTCTAACACATACAATGCACATGATTTATTTAATCCATGTAAATCTAAATAAGCAAATGCTAAACAACCAGCATGAATTGGTTTCTCACCATTGGTCAATAATTCATTTTCATATAATGCAGATCTAGTATCAACAAGATATTCAGCTTTTTGTAATTCTAAATAATGTAATTGACTTTGTAATGAACGTATCTATGAAAAGAAAAAAATGGTTGAAAGATAAGTAAGTAGTCATTTAAACAAGCATTGAAGATTGAATTTTGTTCAAGTTTAAAACTATGCATTAGTTAAATAGTTAGTTAGGATTGAACTTTTATGAATTAAAGTTTGATGGTTTATGTTTTATTTAAACAACCTCATTTAGTAGTTCGTCAGTCAGTCAGTTAGATGCAACGTAGAACTTTGTACGTAAGTACATCAATTCATGTTGTTATACCACATCAGCACAGAGATGTAATTGTCAATTCAAATCCAATAGTAGAAGAGGTAGTAAAGGTGTTAGAAGTAATCGGAGAGGTTAGGATGAGAAGATATTATTCAAGAAGTATGATTCAGTGAGATTAGTTTAAACTGTTAAAACTAGAGGGGTTGAAGAATCCAGAAGATTAGTTAGTAGTTCGTGATAAAGCATTATTATGAACTAAAAAAGTTTTAGTGTTTATAATGAAACTGGAATCTCTCCGGTTCCTATGTTTTGCGGTATTGTAGATAACCACCATTGATGTTTAGCCCTACCGGTTTCGGATGTTTCTCCAGTGGATCCAGTCCTCAAACTAATGGAAATATTGTTGTCCTAGTGTGGGACCCTTTCTATAGTTGAAAAATATCTGGAACTCCAAACAACTTTCAAACAAAACCAAAATCAGGATTTTCAATACAAATGTCAAGACAGTTCTACTGTATGGAGCGGAAACATGGAGAACTACCAAAGCCATCATCCATAAGACACAAGTGTTTACTAACAGTTGTCTACGCAAAATACTTCGTATTCGTTGGCCAGACATCATCAGCAACAACGAACTGTGGGAGAGAACACACCAGATTCCAATGGAGGAGGAAATCAGGAAGAAGAGGTGGAAGTGAATAGGACACACACTACGAAAAGCACCTAACTGCGTCACGAGACAAGCCTTCACATGTAACCCTCAATCAAGGCAAAAGGAAAAGAGGAAGGCCAAGCGACACATTACGCCGAGAAATAGAGAAAGATATGAGAGGAATGAACAAACATTGGACAGAACTGGAGAGAGAAGCCCAGGACAGAGTTGGTTGGAGAAAACTGGTGGGCGGCCTATGCTCCATTGGGGGTAACAGGCGTAAGTAAGTAAGTAAGTGTGGGACCCTCATCTTCTCCATTGTCGCTAATATCTCTAATACTATGGAACTTGAGTTGACAATGCGATCTGTCTGTAGCTGACTGACTAGACAGTAACTACGACAATATGGAAATAGTCAGTCAGATGCAACGTAGAACTTGCTACGTAAATACATCAGTTCATGTTGCCATATCACATCAACACAGAGATATAATTGTCAATTCAAATCCAATAGTAGAGAAGAGGTAGTAAAAGTGTTAGAAGTAATCGGAGTTGTTAGGATTAGAAGAGTTGGTTGGAGAAAACTGGTGGGCGGCCTATGCTCCATTGGGGGTAACAGGCGTAAGTAAGTAAGTAAGTGTGGGACCCTCATCTTCTCCATTGTCGCTAATATCTCTAATACTATGGAACTTGAGTTGACAATGCGATCTGTCTGTAGCTGACTGACTAGACAGTAACTACGACAATATGGAAATAGTCAGTCAGATGCAACGTAGAACTTGCTACGTAAATACATCAGTTCATGTTGCCATATCACATCAACACAGAGATATAATTGTCAATTCAAATCCAATAGTAGAGAAGAGGTAGTAAAAGTGTTAGAAGTAATCGGAGTTGTTAGGATTAGAAGATATTATTCAAGAAGTATGATTCAGTGAGAAAAGTTTAGAAAGTCAAAGCTAGAGGTGTTGAAGAATCCAGAAGATTAGGATTTGAGAGAACACAAAGAATAAATGCACCGGCGCCATTGCAAACGGTTTTGAGTCATGTCATTCAAGGTCTCTAATCATCGATTATTATCATCTCGCGGACCCCAACCAGGTGGTCGACACCTACTAACATGACTCAGTCCACTCGTCAATGACTTCATGAATTTCTGCCATGTTTTGGTTTGGCCACCCCTAACTTTCTTCCAACCTATTCCTACACTACAAAACATAGCTTGTCGAGGCAGTCGATGGTTAGGCATACGCAGCACATGTCCCAACCACCTCAAGTGATGAAGTTTCACCAGTTCATCTATTGATCTGCCGCCATTCTTACCTAGCACTAGACTAAAATCAATTACTGATATCTGCTTATATTGAACATTGAAACGAAAGGATAAACTATAGAAACAAACAAACAAACGAATCAATCAATCAATTAAAACAACAAACCTCAATGATATGAAATTGTTTAATTCGATTATCTTTAGCATAAGCAACAGTATTTTTCATATGGTTTATTTTTCGTCGAATATTGATTATTTTCTGATTAATTAAAGCTAACCAATCAGTATTTTGAATATTACTTTTAGTGTTAACATCAATTAAATCATTTTGATAAGATGAGATGGATGCAGTTGGACTATCATTATTATTATTATCATCATTGTGTTTATTTGTGGTGGTCTCCACAACAAGAAACGGGTTTAATGAATGCGGTGTGAAACCTTGATTTATGAGGTAATCTGTAAGATTTTGTTCATTTAAACTAAATTTAGCAAATAAAAAGAAAAGAAAACATTCTTAGCATGAAATTAAAATAAGATAATGTAGAATAATGATAATAATAATCATAGTGTAGTGAACGAGAACACAGGTGAGGGCAACCGAATTGTATTCTAAACGAAAATTACAGAGTTACTCAGTAAAATCGGAAAAAACCATATTGTAAATCGTTAGTTAATTTGCAAAATATCAGTTCATCTCATATCGAACTGGACTGTTCCTGTTGCAAACACAACATCAATCCATTGTCACTCACTATTCATGCGTTCGTTTCATACAAATTCCATTGTGTTCTTCTAACTCTTCCTTTCTTGATCTTCCCCCCATCTTCGGCTGCCACCAGACATTACGTTGACACTCACGTCATATACTACTTATAAGTAGCTCGCACCACAATAGTAATTTGATTCAACAAATTATACACAACGAATTCTTTGTATCATTTGTTCACAGTAAGCTTCAATATCTACTCCGGTTAGTGATGAGAAAACAAAAAAGGTTGACGAGTTTTTTTTTTCTTTAACTAACTACCTAAAGTTTATACTGAGTATGTTGTTCAGAAGAACAATGTAAGCTCCCACAACCAAAACATTCAAGCCAGAGGATGAAACTCCACCAGATAAACTATCTAATTTGTCAGTCACCAATGCTAGCAAGTAAGCAATGCTGTCGTTAGAAAACGGGTCCTAGGTTTTTGAAACTCCATCAGTTGAGTTGGTTGGGGACATGTGTTAAGTATGCCTAACCAATCGACTGCGACGTCGAGCTATGCTTTGTGACGTAGGAATAGGCTAGGGGTGGCCAGACCAAAACATGGCAGAAATCCATGAAGTCACTGACAAGTGGACTGAGCCATGTCGTTAGGTGTCGACTACCTGGTTGGGGTCCGTGGGATGATAGTAATTGATGGTTAGAGACCTTGAATGATAAGGCTCAAAACCGTTTGCAATGATGGTGCAGGTGCTTTCATTCTGTGTTCTGTCAAATCCTAACCTGAATTCCTCATCACCCTTATCTTTTTCTTTTAAGTTTATTTCACTAGATTCTACTTCTTGAATAATATTATCGAACCCTAAAATTTCCGATTACTGCTAATACTTCTACTGCCCCTACTACTATGGGATGGGACAATGGCATCTCTGTGTTAACGTGGTATAGCAACTTGAACTGATGTACGTACGTACGAAGTCCTGTATTGTTGTTGACTGACTGATCAATGCCACTTTCCGTAGTTTTCAATATTCGTTTGAACGTAGAATAAAGGGATGGAATGTCTATATCAATGAACTACAGGACGTATTTTTCGTCCTATTTTGAACTCGTCAGTTAGATGTACCTGCAAATCAGAGTTGATGCTCATTCCACAACTCAAACTCAGTACCGTTCACTTCAAACGACATCGTATTATCTCCTATTTAGCTACCAAGTTCAGATAGCTATCCTTTTGTGCTATAGGGCAAAGAGGCAACCAGCACAAGATGCCTACATGTCAATCAAGATTGATTGAACTCCAGTCAAAAAATATCAACAACATGAAAATCTAAGAGATTTCAAATTGTTTTGAATAGTTACTATTAATCATTCATTAGTTGACCCTAAGCTTACATTTCCCGCCGGGAAAATCCTTGACTGTCAATGATTGATGTATTATTTTAGTATGCTATTTTTGTGGCTCTCCCAAGGACGTTTCTATCATGTATAAATAAACTCGATTTGTGTGCTTGTCTACCTCGATTTTCTGGGTGCTTGTAGAATATACTTTCTACGCCTTATCAAGACTTCTTGATATAGTTAGCCGGACAGGGCATAAACGGATTACAATAGCCTATCGTGTCACTGTATCGTTGACCTTCGTTCTGTTTACCGAGTAAGGTGAACTCGTAATAGCATTCAATCAAGCATATCAATTGACAAGTATATCATTAGGCGATGGGGATCACTGATATACACAACGTTTTAACGTAAGTCAATCAGTCAGTAACAAGGCAGAACTGAGTATGTACGTACATCAATTCAAGTTGTCAAACCATATTAGCACAGAGAAATGGAATCGCATAGTGGTAGAATGTCAACCTAAATAATTCTTATGGTAATATGAGATAGAGAAGATAGAACATTCAGAGTAGTTTTATATATCAAACGAATGTCAAAAACTGAAACAATCCAATAGTGATTAACCCGTAATACCCAGAAATCAGTCCGTCAGTTACAACGTGAAACTTCAAGATGGTGGAGAAAATTTGTAGCTCAGGTGGATAATTGTTGTGGTGTTTCGTTCTCTCAGCTGGCATATTTCGGTTGTGGAGATTTTGTTGTTTTTCTGAATTTCGAATTTCTCCACGTTTGACCTGTAGCTTGTTCTGTTAACCTCGATCTCGATTGGTTGCTGTTGACCTCTGTTTCGATTGTTTCCTCCTTTTGTTCTGTTTCTTGATCCTATGTCGCCTATGATTTTTCTGATTGGTTGATAAATGGAGTCAATGTCGATGTGTTTGTTAATTGCTGTTTGTCACCAAATAGAACTATGTCATCGGCATATTTTAAGTAAATAAGCGAGCCTCCTGGTAGAAGGTCCACTCCTAAAAAGTCTGATGAGGATAGTATTAATTTTAAAAGCATGTCTACGACAAAGTTAAACATGAATGGAGAGAGTGGACAGCCCTGACGAACACCACTTGAATTAAAGAATTCCGATGACAGTTCGCAATAAGCTCTCACTCGACTAGTGATGTTCGAGTAGAGAGCTAGTGTATAAGGTTAATGTACTTCTCTGGTACCCAAAAAATAAATGTGTCTATGTCTTGTAGCTATTGATACAACGTTGTCCTTCAGCTTGAAGTTCTTTAAAGTGTCTGCTCTACTCCTGTCTTCTTCTTGAGTTTTTATCGTCAGGATAGTTGACGAAGTGCTGTGTATGTGTGTGTCAGTGGTCAGGTTATCGAGTTCGCGCATTAACAGCAACTCCATTGTTCGAAATTATCGTTGACCCAACTGACTTCCAATTTCCAGACGTGACCAATGGAGTTCAACCCTGTCGGGTGTAGGCGGTAACTACCAAAGACAAATGGGTGAGGTCGCGCAAAATCCCTAGATCAATCAGAGTTAGACATTAACACCGTTGGATGCCGGCTCAGTGGTCCGATGGTAAGGCGTTCGCCTACAATGCCAAAGGTCCCGGGTTCGAATCCTGCGAGGAGCAAGAGTCGTGGATGCGCACTGCCACTGATGAGTCCCATACCAGGACGAAACGGCCACCGTCCAGTGCTTCCAGGTTTCTAATGGTGGTCTAACAATGATTGATTGATGATTTCAAATGTGTATTATAAATATATATTAGTTGACATTGATAAATACTTACTCAAACCGAATAAAAAGACTTTCTAAATAATTTATTTCAATTCCAGGAAATTGTGCTTTTAAACGACTTAAACAAAGTTGATTAGCCAATGTTAGAAGACGCTGCAAAGAGAGAAAAAAATCAAATGAATTCATTTTTAGTTAACAAATAAACAAACACGTCAACTGAATACAATTTTTAATGAGAAGACGAGAAAAAAGCGAGTTAAATAAATTGAATTTATACAGGTATTCACCGTAAACAGTTTTTTGCCAACGTTACTTGAAAAAAATTATCACTGAATCTAGTTTTTTTAATGTGATTTTATTTTCAAAACTTTATATTATATACCTACCTACCTGTTTTTAAGCCTGCTGTTACCTTTCTGAAAGCATAGAATGCCTATCAGAAATCTCCTCGGCTATTTTCTTTCTCATTGTTGTCAAATACTATTCATGGTTTTGATATCTATTTCTAATTGTCAGTGTTATGTTCTCATCGGTTTGTCTCTTTTCTTTTAGACCACCTAAGGATTTCAAGTTAAAGTTCGTCGTCCTGTGATGGAGCTCATTGAAACCTGACATGCTCTTCCATAATGTCAATCTACCTTACTTACTTACGCCTGTCACCCCCAATGGAGCATAGGCCGCCAACCAGTTTTCTCCAACCAACTCTGTCCTGGGCTTCTCTCTCCAGTTCTGTCCAATGTTTGTTCACTCCTCTCATATCTTTCTCGACTTCTCAGCGTAGTGTGTTCCTTGGCCTTCCTCTTTTCCTTTTGCCTTCAGGGTTCCATGTGAGGGCTTGTCTCGTGACGCAGTTAGGTTCCATACATTAGAACTGTCTTGACATTTGTATTGAAAATGCTGATTTTGGTTTTGTTTGAAAGTTGTTGGGAGTTCCAGATATTTTTCATCCGTAGAAATGCAGCCCTCGCTTTGCTGATCCGCGCCCTCACATCTGCATCCGATCCACCTTTCTCGTTAATCTACCTAGTTACACTGAAATTCAAGCCAGTTTACTGAGCGAAAAGTTGGAACTATTTACATTTTAAACATTGAGATTGTTTCATGCATAGTTTTTGACAGAGAATGTCACCTGTATATTCGGAGCCCTAATCTCTCCGGAGCTAACAAATTTTGGCCTTTTGTCAATTGTGGGCCAATTCTAGGATAATTTCGGGTAAAAACTAAAACCTGAATAAATTTTGGAAAAATCTGCACAAATTAACACTTACGTAGACTTTTTGTCGTCAACGCAATGTAATGAATTTGGCAATGTTCACAAAAGTATTTCTACCACTCACTTTTATGTGATGATAAGAAAAAAGTCATTTAAAGTTGGGAAAAAACCCAAACGTGGTTTTCTCCATTCTGATTGACCTGTAATCTCACTATACTTGTGCTACTTTATTTATAAATATTGGACCTCAAGTTATGTAGCAAGAATGGAAAACTAAAACCGAGAACAGCCAATCAAAAAAACAATAAATGCTAGGTGTAGAAGTACGTACATCAAAACAAGTTATCATGGCCCGGCGCTTACATGTCATCACAATGGCTTGTTAATAACAAAAATTAGAAACGCCAGATAATTTTTGGCCTTTCTAGCATTACTACAAAATAGATTTGTAAATATCACGGTATCATTATGATACCTGAAACATAAAATCATTATATGATAAAATGTAATTCAATGAAAATTATTCACTGAAGTTACACCACTGAATACCCGACCGTAGCTGCTACCTTGACGTGGTGATGGGGCTTGCCTATCGTCATGACCCAACCGAGCTATACTGGCTGGAACATATGTTCCTGTAGGTCCTATCATCCCATACAAGTCTATTGGAGAACGATGAGACTAAAAGCAGCTACTCAAGGTCTGGGGGCAAAGTCGTACTGCTGACTGCAGAGGGGGTGTGACAGCAGTAAGGTGTTTCCCTCAGACAACCAGCATCTGCAGCGATGCTGCCTTCTCACAAGGAAGGAAGAGTTAGAAAAAGTTGACCCTAAAACTGTCACACCTCACCCTACTTTACGGATTTCTGCCTCGGTAGGTAAGACTACTTGAAGAGCGGAGCTAACACGGCAAGTGACCCTGTGTGACCAGCCTGAAGCAGATGCCCGTTGATCTCCAAGACCAACACTAATCTATCTTCCTTTTCAGGTCCCTCAAGAAACAACATTCCACGGTGTGGACAGCCGGGAAGTGACAACCACCCTCATACCCGTAACAGCACACGAGACCGAATCGATCACAATCAAATCCTTCCTACTCCCCCTAATAGCACACACCATTGAATATCGGCTGAATATAGTTTAGAGGTTAAACGTTTGTGCACAAGACCTTCTGAATTCCTCATCATCTCCATCTTTCTCTTTCTAAAGTTATCTCACTAAATTATACTTCTTGAATCATATCTTCGGACCCTAATCTTCTCCATTACTGCTAGTACTTCTACTATCTCTATCACTATGGGATTTGAAATGACAATTGCATCTCTGTGCTTATGTGGTATGGAAACCTGAACTGATGTACGAAATTCTACATTGTAATCGACTGATTTAAGATGTTCTTAAGTATATATGATTACTGGAGGATGAAAAAGAGCCACCCAACGCTCCCAAGTTTTCAATTAGTGATTTAAACTATGAAAAACTGATGATATTAAATTTATTAATTAATTAAAACAACACACACATAAAATGATATGTTGTTATAATGTAATACGTCATTGAAAATGTAACAAATGATGAATATTTATAATTGATCAACTTAATTTTAAGTATATATATATGATGTTGAATTGATGATTCTATTTGTTATTAAATAAATCATCAAATATGCCGACCTTCTTATTAAATAAACAATTCAAATGGTATCGAAATAGGAAAATTATAATATTATATAGCACTGCTCGTATATCCTGGGACACTCGAGTGAGCAACGCTGTTATTAGGAATCGGGTACTAGGTAAGAATGGCAGATCAATAGATGAAGTGGTGAAACTTCATCAGTTGAGGTGGTTAAGACACGTGTTGCGTATGCCTAACCACCGACTGCCTCGTCGAGCTTTGTTTTGTAGTGTAGAAATAGGTTGGAAGAAAGCTGAGGGGCGGCCAGACCAAAACATGGCACAAATCCATGAAGTCATTGACAAATGGACTTAGCCATGTCGGTAATTGTCGACTATCTGGTTGGGGTCCGCGAGATGATAATAATCGATGGTTAGATACCCTGAATGACATGGCTCAAAATCGTTCACAATGGCGCTGGTGCATTTATTCTCTGCGTTCTCTTAAATCCTAATCTTCTGGATTCTTCAACCTCTCTAGTTTTGACTTTCTAAACTTTTCTCATTGAATCATACTTCTTGAATAATATCTTCTAATCCTAACTTCTCCGATTACTCCTAATACCTTTACTACCTCTTCTACTATTGGATTTGAAATGACAATTACATTTCTGTGCTGATGTGGTATGGCAACATGAACTGATTTACTTACGTACGAAGTTCTACGTTGCATCTGACTGACTGACAGCATATATATATATATATATATATATATATATATATATATATATATATATATAAACCAATGTTGGAATAACATAGCATTAACATGGACAGATCTAAATTCATTGAAGTAAATATTCGGTCATTTTATTTATCACTACTATTAATTTAAACACATAAACATTTGTACAAAGCGGCATCTAAATATTTATGCGCCGTACAAATCATTGAATTTGCGAGATACAACGCCCAACCGACTAGACAGAGCTAGGTTGTTGGTATTGTGTGGGAGCCACAACCTGAGACTTTGATCTTAGTGTCGAATCCACAAGACAGTGTAGCAACTTTAGGAAATGCTGTAACACGGTAATCGGTGACTGGCAATAAGTTCATATGCCATTGGTTCCATCAAGATCCTGGAGCCAATGTGCATCATCGGTTCACAATCCGGGTTTTGCAACTATCCTGGATGAGTCAGACAATCACATTTCATCGTCACCATTTCGTAAAACACTCTCAAAATAAGTACGGAAAGCAATAGGTAGGACTTCCCAGTCATTGGCTATATACACATGGCTATATGAGAGCATTTCGAGAGAAAGTTGACTCTCTCCACTCATGGACCAACCAGGGACATTTGAAATCTAAACCTGACTCCTTTATATGATATAAATTTGTATAAATTCAATTTATTAATTCTCTAAACAAGCGATTTACACTAAACGATGAAGTCAGTCAGTCAGATGCAACGTAGAACTTCGTACGTAAGTACTAAACGGTGAAGCATCCGATTTTGAGTGTTTGTACTCAATTATGATGTGTTAAATATTGTAATTTTATTATTATAATCTAATAGAATATTCATTATTTTATGGTAAATCTAATATTTCATATGTATAATGTGCATGAACTTAAATTTTCTAGAGTGATTTACACATTCGAAAGTAATATCGAATAATATTGTTATGATAAAAACTGATAATAAATGAACTAAATTGGCGATTATGTATATCAATATCAACAACATGAGAAATATAAAATTCTACTAATTACAGTACATGTTTGAAATAAAGTGTACTAACTTAATCTCATGTAAAGCATATTCGTGAAATTTGTTATCAAACCAGTCATTGGTAATTTATTATTTATTATTAATAACAACTTCAAGTGTAATGAATTGATCAGATGGAATCAACATTAAACAGACAGTCAGTTAGTTAGTTAGTTAGTTACAACGTAGAACTTCGTACGTATGTACATCAGCTCAGGTTGCCATACCACATTTGCATACCGAGATCGAATTGTAAATTGAAACCCCATAGTAGTATAGGTAGTAGAAGTATTAAAGGTAATGGACAAGATTAGGATTCGAAGATATTATTCAAGAAGTATAAATCAGTGGCATAACTTTCGAAAGAGAAAGACAGAGGTGTTGACAAATGCAGGAGATTAGGATTTCAGGAAATAAAAGGAGTGGATGCACGAGTTCCATTACGAACAATTTTGGGCCATATTATTCAAGGTCGCTTAATATAGTTTACTATCTTCTCGTGCATCCCAACCAGGAGTGTACACCTACTAACATGGCTCAGTTAACCTGTC